CCTCCTCTCTCTCTCTCTATTCTCCCGCCATTATATTAAAATATTATTTAAACAATAGCTGCCATGAGCAGATGATATTACACGTATTGCGAGAACCCCTTCAAGTCCAATACAATGCAACATGCCATCATTTGTTTCAACAGAAATTCGTTCGAAAAGATAGGAAAATTTTCTATCTTTTTGTTTCATTTATTTATATATTTATAAAAAATGTTATTTTAATACATTTTTTTTCGAATTCAATATCATACTTGTGGTTTAAGAAATATTTGTCCTATTAAGTTTCTGTGCAATAATGTATTATTAATAATAATATACTATAATAAACAATAATATACTATATTATTAATTATTATTAAAACTGATTTAAAATCATTTTAAAAATTTTGTAATTTCATTCTTTTTTTAATTCATATATTCCAACACCGATTTTACCATTTTAAATTCCGCAAAGCATGGACTTTAATTTTTCGTGTGTTTACGTGATGCTTCGTAAAAATATCAGGGACTACGTGAGTTGCAATGTAATGAAACAGACTGGCTCAAATAAAGACTCGCTTCGTCTTGGCAAATGATATAGTGGTCGGACAATAAACCGCCAATTGACTATCAATATCGTCTAATGAAACCGTATCGATGCATCGCAATATGTAAAGGGGCATGCAATTCTATCTGTTCTACCGTTGTTCAGCGAATAAAACGCTTCTATTAAACGACATCTAATACGATCCCAACGCGTTATACCACGCGTAATATATACATGCACAGCGCAAAAATAATCGTGTAATTCTTACAGAATTTTCCGCGGTGCTATAAAAAAGGTTTCATTAGCGTATTAGAGCGCGGAACGTATACATTGACAAGAACAATAGGATGCAACTGGAAACTTTCCGTTTAATAAGTCAGGTGCGCCGACATTAAATTGCCGAGATTTACTGAGAGAAATCGCTATTAAATATATTATATAACTTCTCGATAAATAGTTCTCGATATCAACATAATTAAAACGTCGTTCCGTTTACGCGCTGCGAAGATTGGCAAATTGATCAAGATATCGAGAGAATATAAAGTATTTTTTTACCGACCGATATAGTCTCTAGAGCTACTTGAGACCGAATAGTCTCAAGTAACTCTTTCTTAATGCGCGATACGCTTGCTGTCAATTCATTTTATTTTTCTCGAAGAACGTAATTTATTTGTTCGTCCGCGCCTCTCTATCTATCGTCATGGATGCAAACAGGCTTGCATCTCAGGGTCGTGCGCGATGCATTAACTGGAAACTGAGGCTCAACCTGACGCATCACCGTGACAGACCAAGACACACCTTGACCCCAAGGATTACCGAGTGGCCCCAAAAGCCATGCGCGGCGTCTAATTTCATGCAAGAGGATATCGAGTTTTCATGAATTACGCAAGAGCTCAATAGAGAAACAGCGGTATGTCACAACTGGTTATGAGATCCGGCAGAGTTTCATTCTCGCCGGAAGATCATTTCTCCGTCACGTCGTTCTCAAAATTTGCAACACGATATATTACGCGATATTTCACCGACGTAATATTATTATGCTAATAATTCAGCAAGATATTGATTCGAAGGCATAAATATCGGCCGGCTGCGTATCCGGTTTGCGTGATGCATTCGGATACATTATACATCTCCACAAGAATCGAATTAATACCGAATTAATCTCATTTTTTCCTCGTTCAAAAAAAAAGTTCCTTTCGTTTTCTTTTTTATCTCTTCCAAGAATATTTTTGAGATCATATATCTTGAGCGAACTGAAAATACTGTCCGATTAAAAAATAAAGATCGCCGGTAGGAAGCCGCGTCGGGGCACATTGTACTGGGAAGACTAATTTTGAACTTGTTAGGCGAGATATATTTATTCGTATAGTGCGATGTCCTTTCCATTTGAGTTGATCATCCTTGAAACCAACACAGCCTCGAGGCCGTAACGCTCGAGTATGTGCCGCTCTAAAAATTGCCGAGTGACCAATAACGTAAAAATCGTCAATCTTTCACGTACGTATTATATCTACCGTTTCGTGAATCGTTCTTCCTTGTCTGTGAAATTATGCATACAAAGTTATGTGTCAGAATCGCAGAACATTGCGTATTTTCCGAGTATTGATTCATTTCCCCGTAATCACCAGATGAAACATTCCATTATTCAATAATAATTATAATTTCGAATTGGAAATATATCTGTTTATCTTACGGATTTGTACGGATTCGTGGCAAACGGAGGGACGAATCTTTTTTATCGATTCGCGCGATCGCGATATTGCTCGTTTAATCGAGTGCTTTGCCGCCGGCTGTCTGACTGAATGAAGCACACTAAACGTCACTCAACGCGCTCTTATCTCAACCCGGAACACGTAAAGAAGAAAGCAAAATTCGCGCGCGATGTCATTAACCCTTGCGGATTCGCCGAGTTCGACCCATGCCGGTCAATGAAGCATTATATCCGTTTTACGGAGAACTCCGCGCGTGATGAAAACCCGTCGAACCCGCCGTCCCGGATACACTCAATCGATACTCGAACACCCCGGAATCGAAATAAGGCGGACGCTTCTTTCAAAAGCGAGTTAAGCGCGTTTCCGTATCGCACGACGCCTCTCTCACTCAAAGATAAATTCGATATCGCGAGAAAATACCTAAAGGAAGCTGCATGGATCGGTTTTCGAGATACGGTAAATTCCCAACGCCGTCGTAATATTGCGAGATGTGGCATATATAATTTTTCCGAGAAAAATATCGCTACGTCTTTTTGACTAAATATCTTAACGACGCAATAAACGTTACGCAATAATAGCGTTATTAATGGGGAACGGAGGACCCCTCGATATTTTGCATGTGACACGGTATATCGAAAATAAGAACCGTGTCATCTACAAAGAGTGACATTATCTCTGTTAATGCCAGCTGATTTAACACTAACGAGCGTCGACAATCTCGTAATTGATGCGATACGTGCTCCATTAGCTTACAGCAGCAAGATTTCACACCTCGTTGAAACGAGCGCGAATCTGAGACACATTTACGATTTTCAAATTTTGAATAAGAATAAAAATAATAAAAACACAGAATAAAATCGAAATAATTCAATCGATAATATCGTCTCTTTATTTATATTTAACGAACGTATTTGAGAAAAGAGATTTCAATTTGTACCGCTTCGATCCGTGCTTTAATTTTTGTTTTCAGAGATTTTTCGCGATATGTGCGAAAAATCAGTCTCATATACAATTCATGCATTTAATGCAACCGCTCCAGTTTTCATTGACGCGTTATCAGGAAAAGCAAAGTGCCAGTATAGCGGCAAAACTCACAACTGAACGTCCGGCGCTGAATGCGAAATACAAATGTTTTTTACTACACATGCATACGAAGATTTCACATACGTGTCAAATCCGATCCACAATCTAAGGAATCATATCTAAGGAATCACGTACGTGATAATAAACACGTGTCGAAAACACTGTGAATAAACGCCAGAAATATGCACTTTAAATGCCATTCTCTTTTCTCTCTCCTATCCTTTTCTGTATTTTCTTGATACAAAAAATTAATTGTGGAAGATATTAATAAACAATTAGATGTAATTATATACATAAACGTTATGTACAAAAAAGCTTGAAGTAGAAGAAAAAATTACGTATTTTTTTTTTTAAGCAAAGTCTAAATTTTTCAAATTCTACTCGGAAGTTGGGGAATTCCTTATATGCCCTTAAGCGCTTATGTAAAAATTAGCGCACACATTTCCTCCGATTTTTCTCCTTCCTCAGGTACAAAAATATACATAGCTCTCCGCGAGGAATTTTCAAATGGAATTTAATCATCGAATTTGAGATCATTGCAAGTCGATGCTATTACTTTGAAAATTTCTTCGAGAACCTTGGTCTCTTTATTCTTACTTTCAATATGCGTATATCTGCTTTTCTTTCGCGGAAAGACAAAGAGGGAAGAAATAAAATAAAAAATTTCTGCGTATAAAGAACCGAAAAAAAGAAGCTAGATAAAGAAAACATTTTTTCGGCTTCGATAATCCCAGATCAGAGTTCATCATCGATCGCACGACTGCGTCCGGATACCAATCATGTAACTTTTTTCCTAAGCCGGAGGGTGAAAAGTGAAAATTGTTTCCATTATCTTTAATAGCAAAAATTTTCATTCTTTTAATATTTCCGTCCTAAAAAAAAAAAATTACATGACATCAATATCTTGGATGCGATCGATGATGAACTCGGATTTAGAATTATCGAAGATTCTTTCTATCTAGTTCCTTTTTCCTTCTATTTTCTATACACGGAGACTTTTTATTTGCTTTTTGTCTTTCCGCAAGAGAAAATCGCATACGCACATTGAAAGTAAGAGCGAACAGACAAACCAAGGTGTTCTGTCTCGAGGAACTTCTCAAAGTGATAGGGCAAGTCGTGAGAAAATCGTGATATAACGAGAAATAATTCGGTGTGCATTCGACGAGTGCATTGCTCGTCGTCGTTCGCTCGCTCGCTCGCGACAAACGCCAGGGATCGAAACGTCCCGCGTCATTAGCGATCTGACCGACGACGGCGAACGAACGGGCACACGATCGCTACAGCCAATGAAAGCGCTGGTACGCATCTCATTACCGATAATCGAAAGGCACCGCTCGACTTAACGGTTGCGTAGACCCGAGTAAAAGACGATGAAGACGACGATGACGATGACGACGACGACGACGGCGACGTCTCGCTCCGACGTGTCGCCGACGGAGAACCTAATAAAGCGGTCGTGGCGCGCACATTCGGCAATCATCCGTGGAAAGGTATTTTTACGCGGGCGATTCCACGGAGAATCCGAGGTCCCTCTTCACTTCCGCCTTCCGTTTTGCGGCGGAGGAAAGAAAAAAGGAAGGAGCGATATCGCGAAAATCGAAACTGCAGCGAGGCTGCGGAACGCGCTTCGGCTCCTACGAACGGCGAGAATGTGGGAAATAAAAAAGAAGCGATGCAAAAAGTGTTTACTCACTTCCTCGCGGTGGCGACGTCGACGACGGCGGCTGCGGCGACGGTGGAGGTGGAAGTGGTGGCCGTGACGATCGCGGTGACTCCTCGCCCAGCTCCGCGCGCTGTCGATGAATCGAAATCGTTCTCCCGATGCAAAATGTTCTAACACGTTACACGGCACTCAGTCCTGGATATCTTCGAACATGCGAGAGACAGACACGCTGGTGCGCTTCCGTACTCCGTGTTGGAATCCGCAGCTCTTCCTCGCGACGGGTGAGCGGACAGACGGGCAGGCGGGCGCGGGCGGACAAGCGAGTGACCGGTCGATCGGTCGCAGAACTCGGCGAACGAACGATGACGGTCCGGTAATGCGATCGCGACCGTGCGTGAAGAAGCGCGCGCGGAACGCGTAACAATAAAAGTCACCCGCGACGACGATCGCGATGATCGGCGCGATGGATTCACGTACGCGGAGAATGCGTCGCGCGTGTATACAGGATGTACAGGTGTATAGATATATATATTTCTCTCAGCGTCTCTCCAGCATGTCTCTACGCGAGCAGCGGCCGTCAAGTGTCACATACGCACGTATATATATGTACGATGCGAGCAAGACGGCGATGTTGACACGCGAGATACGCGAAATAACATCCACACCGCCCGGTGGTCCCGACACGACTGTCGCCGACTGTCGCCGCGCGAGCGCCGAGCGCCCGCGCCCCCCGCGGCAGTCCGACGGCGCTCCACGATTCTCCACGATTCTTCGCGAATTATCCGTCGGTAGCGAGTACTCACGGATCACATTGGGGCGGACGTATTTAATTTTTATGTTGCGTCATTACACAACATAAAAATCATTCCCTTCTTTGTCTTCGAATTTCGACTTTGCGTAAATAACTTTCGAATTTGTATTATTCCTTATCGATTTGACCTGTGTTAACCCGGTTTCGAATTATGGCCATTTAAACCTTCAGGAACTCGAGCCGTGATCTTGTTGATGAGAGAGGGGAGGGGGGCGTTGACTAATCGCAATGGTTATTTCGGTCAATCGATCGATCCGATTGGTTAATTTTTTCTCCGTCCGAATCTTGAATCAATTTTTAATATTATGAATACAAAATTTTTAAATGAAAGAAAAAGAAGAATTATCCGTCGGTTAGCAAGCACGCTGTTCATTCCGCCAGTCGATCTTGAAACTTGTATGATAAGCCGGGAAGGTGTGTTTTGAATTACGATTTAACATAATGTAAATTATACGAACGAGTATCTGATCTCAACATGCTCATAATATTTGAAATTTAATTTCAAAACTACGAGAATATGTATGATGTAAAAAAGTCAGATGTATTTCTATGAATCTTTAAATTCTATAGTTAATTAAAATTCTTTTGTAATTTTGAAAATATAATAATAAAAATATAATAATAAAAATTATAAAATTGTACAACGGAATTGAGTGTCGATTTGAAACAAAAATCATAAAATATGATTGTTGTCAAGTAAAATTTATAGAAAAAAATCGATGGAAAAATACATATAAAATGTTGATAATGTAGAGATCTTTCAGAATCATATTTACGTGCATATTTATCTGTTATTATTTGTTATAGATTTTCACATTTTGTTATATAAATGAGTATTTTATATGAATTAATAATTGATAATTTTTTCATTTGCTCCATCATATATTTTGTTTCTCATTGCAAATCGTGAAAAATCTGCTTTGACAAATAACTCTTATCTTTAATATGAAATATTGAAAAGCTGTCATATATAACATTTCATATTGTAAATTTAATTTGATTATTTTATTTCACGCAGTTCCACTTAATTTAACTAGGCTATTAGATATATTGCAGAATAAACCATTGCAGATATTTATTTAAAAAGCACAATTATTGGATCGAAAAAGCGCTTATGTATTTGATTTATTTATATTATATTATTAATTGATTTATTATTAATATTTATTTTATACTCGTTTCAGAAAAATAAAATTATGTAACATCAATTATAATAAATACGGAAATTAAAATAATCCCGAAAAATATTGCGTTATTTTTTTCATTATTTTTTTGCTCCATTAATAGTATACAATTTTATGTCACTCGAGGCATAAACTTTGAAACAGAAAAATATAGAATTATTTTACTTTTTCCCTATCACAAAAGCGAGATAGTTAAGAGATAAGTTTTATCGTATTAATAAAAGCTTTATTAATTATTTAATTATATTAATGAACGAACAATTATACAGAACATCGGATCTAATTTTTCAAAGAACAAAATGAATTAAAAGAAGTTTATACAATTAATTAATTACATTAAAAAACAATTAAGTATAACATTAAATCTAAAGAAGAATCTTTGATGAATAAAGTTGATTTATAGCATTTTCGATGGCAACAAGTTTGATCTGAATCATATTCCATCATATTGTGCTTTCTGCATTTAAAATGAGATAGATATATGTAGAATTCCAGCGTTAGAAAAAGGAAGAATGAAAAAAGCAGAAGTGCACTAACATCATTAACCGGAGAGATGATCAAGATTCAATATAACCAAAAACGCTTTTTACATATGTTCCTTTCTAAATATTGTAAACATATGCTTAACGGTACGCGATGCGCGGTGAACGATGCGCCATGAGCGAAGCGCGGTGCGCAGTACGTGATGCGCAGTATACAGTGCGTAGCTCACAGCGTTCTCTGTCTGCCGACATTCGCATGGCGACGCTCGGGTGGGGAGGTGGTGTCGCGCGCCGCTTCGTAAAATGTGATAACTTTTCGACGTGAGCGCGATAGATAAGGAGGGAATTAGCAACGAATCATGAATTGGCAACGAATAAAAAGTTTAATGATATAAGAATTAACTTATAAAATATTGATTAGAACAATTGAAGAACGCTGTTTTAATTTGCCGTATGCCATTATTCTTTATAAATTAGCGGTTTTTCAATCGCGAGATGAACAACATTCGCAATTAACCACGCGGAATTATGATTTGTAACATAACGTAATGTTTAAGTTAATATTATTATATGAAATTATTATGATTATATAATTATAAAATCGAATACTTCGTGCGATTTATCTTCTCATAGTAGAAATCGAAATCGTAACGTGGCGCGGGAAAAAAATTTCTCAAATTTCTCGCAATACTCCGGTCGATGTAATTATATATTTAATAGCTTCCGATTATATGTGTATGTGTATCTTGCATCGCGTTTAAAATTTGTTAATACTTAGAAGTATAATTTTGCAAAGTTCATGATACGTAAACTACGAAATATATATTGAATATTAAATAATGAAAACCGCGGGTGATATATTCGCGGAATTCGACGTATGTTTCTTCTATACTACGTGTTGAAAACTTTGTAAAATAATTAGGAGACACGGTAATGTCTTGGGTGTTAAGTCCATAACCGAAATACTATCATGTGACGAGTCGGCGAATAGCGAATATTTCATTTTATTAATAATTATCGGATCTCATTAACGGCTCGTCAGATTTTAAGTAGGTTCAATCAATAGCTTGGATTTAATTTGCATAACAAAATGTAATATATACTCATGTTTCTTGTCGGCGCACAATCGTTTGTTTACGTTCGCCGGTGACTTTGTTATTGTCTGTTTTCGTCTCGAAATACGATCATCGTAAACAATGTTTATATCTGTATATATACATATACCGCGTTATTTTAATTTTCTGGCAACTTAACATATTCAGTTTGATATTCCTGGGGATTGAGAATATGATATACATGAATATAGTAACAAACAAAACGCTGAATAAAATAATTAGTAAAACGGAGAAGCGTAATATATTGATAATGAATTAACGATGCGTGAATTATTCACAGATATATCGCATGGATAATAGCGAATATCGTTTGCACATTTTCAGATGACTCGTTTAATTCAGTTATTAATTTGACTCGCGTTGTATTGAGGAATCAGAGTTAATTTGGACATTATTTTTGAATCTGATATTTATTGTTGCGATCACAGAATGAATTAACAGGAATTGAATTAAGTGGCATGATAAAGCATCTAATTAACATATACTGTAATTAAACATATTTGATTTTGTGTTACTCTATATCCATTTCTATCAATATAAATTAATTTTAATCTCGATTTAAAATCTACTTTTATCTTTTAATCTACTAAATCTATTCTTTCTTTTAATTCTAAAAATTAAGAAAAAATAATAAATAAATTAAATCGAGATTAAAGTTTATCTATATTGATAAAAATGGATACTAGTCGCACTGTATTAGTTTATAGTTTATGTATTGGCGTAGTCATTTATTCTTTATTTCAATTTACTCTTTCGTTATAATACAAGACAGTTATTCTCAACTGTTATTTTATCGTTTCGATTATAAAAAAGAGTGTCAGAAATGCCATGCAAAGTATCGCGTGATCGACATTGTTTTCGCGAATAATTTTCGCGAGTGTTTCCGCGAGTGTTTTTTGTGAGCGAGTGCAATGCGAGAAGGAGGCATCCTGATGATCCAAAAATCCTGAGAGGAGGAAGAGGCCTAGGAGAGGCATCAGGCATCGGCGGAGCAACTTGCGGTAAATATTTTTTATTTGTATAAAATTAATGTTTCCCATTTTATTTAAATTATTCCATTTTGGTGAATGCAAAATAATAGAGAAAAAAAGGAATTCTAAAATTTCATAAAAATTTATAAGATTATAAATTATTTATAAAATTATTTATAAGATTATTATTCTTATAATGAGTTTGTTTCGGTTTTCAAAATAATTATTTTCATAAGTATTGAAAACGAATAAAAAATTTAATGGACGTAATAGTCAGTTTAGAAAATATTGATTGTTTAGAATGCTGTTTTAATTTTAATATTGTATTTGTGTTACAGAATCAACGTAGTCAACGTTGCAGAATTACTCCGCTGCTGCGCGTCAGTCGGTGAGTCTGAAATTATTTATCTTAAATTGAGATAACGGATCCGTGAGAATTTTGTATATCTGAGAATGCGCGCATATTAAATCAGCATAAAAAGGTATTAAAAATAAACATGACGTTTTATACATTCGTTATCTTGAAATTAATGAACAAATATATAATATAAAATAAAATGAATATTTAATCCCGGCTTGTATGTAATTATAAATTTGTTATGCGGACAATATGAAGGACTTATAAAATACAACTTATAGATACATAAATTATCGATTGACACTTTATAGTGTCTTATTACACGAAACCTTAATTAAGATTTCGGAAAACTGGAAGATATACCAGTCGCCTGAAATTTAGGCAACTTCTTTAGGTAAACATAAATAATAGAATAGAAGTCGTATAAAATTTTAGATATAAAAAAATAACGATAAATGCTGTAAAAAAATAATAAATGACAACAACATAAATTTTGAAAAAGTTCCCAAATCTAATAAAAATAATAATCTTTAAATAAATTGGATTAAAAAAGTACTTTATAATATCCATATACTTTAATATCATAATAATTTATGATATCCGTATATTTTAATATCATAAAAATTAATTGAAATAAAAAATTTTAATATAAAAATATTATAATAAAATTTTTACAGTAAATTTTTACAGTATTTGTAATACAGTACTTATAAAAACAATAAGTTGTAAATCATTGTAATAAGTGATTCAAAATTATTCCT